CCTTTAAAAAAGGTTTTTCAAATCACCGTTGCTCCAAAACAAGACGAGACGCTCGCATGACACAACAGTCGTAAACGAATGTGGTCCGCTGTAACTCGTTTTTCAGCCCGAGCTGCACACTCCTCATCGAAGCGGTGTCAACGCGCGCTCCCACGACGCGAGCAGCCTTCACCCAAACGGCGCTGCGTTGATGAAGGCGCGCACACAGCTCCCCAGCATTCACCGGCTTGCATCAGCATAAATGTGAGACCACAGGACGGGTCTGGTGAGAGACCTCGCTCTCAGCAAGGGAGACGCAACGCGTAATTACGCACATGGAGAGCTGAGTGACAAGATGCTTTTTGTGCAAGCTGCCACTTCGTATGGTGTTCGAATGGACCCAGTGAGGCGAGGACCACATCTGCTTCACCCTTAACCCACCAGCGACAGCTCTTAAAGGGTGAAGCCTATATGAAATAGAACGTTGGTTACGTACTGTAACCCCAGATTCTATGAGTATAGGCATAGCCCTTTAAGCGTCGGGCCTCAATGGCTCTTAAATGGCTGAAGAAAAAGCTATTTGGGAGCCGATTACCCGCTCTTAACGTAATTTATACGGACCGGGTGGGGCCGACACAGCAGGTGGGAGTGGACTAAATTTTTTCAGTGCAATGCTTCGCATGACAGGATAAACCCACTAAGCGACAGCTCTTAAAGGGCTACGCCTATAATAATAATAATAATGTCATCACAATGTCAGCACTGTATGTTTCCATACAATGGCGAAATTAGTCTCTGCATTTAACCCATCCACCACCAGGTGGTGCAGTGGGCAGCTATTGAAAGCGCTCGGGGGGCATTTTGGGGATGAGACGTGCTGCCCAGAGACGCCACGTGATGTGCAGTGACTGGGGATCGAACCTGGGACTTTCGGGTCCCAAGCCAGCTGCCCTGCCTCTACACCATCTAGAATCTGGGGTTACAGTACGTAACCGTTTTCTTCTTCTTCTTGAAACTAGACATCTAATATAAAGCATCAGTTCAAATCATTTTTTCTGGTAAATAATAAAAATAAAAATTAACAAGCCATTAATTTTTCCCCTTCACAAAACTCCTCAAACAACCTTTGTTTAATTATTATTAGCACCACAAAAAGCTTCGACTTGTCTTCTGATCTCAGGAGGACGTGTCGTTGTTGCCATGGAAACACTCATCACACTTTCAGGTGAGAACCCCACCTCCTCCTGTCAGGACGATGAGCTCAGTGCACACATGTTAAGATGTAACTGTCTTTGAAACGTTCCTACAGACAGTGAGGTTCTGCCCTCAGTGTTCTAGGTTCTGTCATGATGTTGTGGGAAGTCTTAGCTCTGAAACACACAAATCAATCAAATATATGATCGACTGCCTGATGATTCAAGCTTGACATGAACAAGTGAAGGAAATGTTCAATTCAAGCAAATAAAAACATTAATATTAAACATTTGTTTATTACATAAACTAAATCAAATAATATACTGTATAAGTATTTTAAAAACGCATCTGAGATACTACTCGGCTAAAAACATTTGCCGTTAAACCTAAGGGTAAAAAAACTCTGAGCTTAGCAGCGTGTTATTATTTTTAAGATTTGGTGCTATGGCTAATCAGCCATTCGTTTTAAAAATGGCCCTGCTTGGACTAGCCATTAGCTCATCAAGCCTGCCAGAACTAAATCCAGTTTATCCAAATGGAGCTTATTCAAAGGGCTGTCTATGACAGGTAAGATATCCATCCATCCATCCATTTTCTTTACCCGCTTATTCCATTTTGGGTCACGGGGATCGCTGGTGCCCATGTCCAGCAATCACTGTGCGAGGGGCGGGATACACCCTGGACAGGTCGCAAGTCCATCACAGGGCCACGTAGAGACAAACAACCATTCACTCTCTCATTCACAGCTAGGGACAATTTAGAGTTACCAATCAGCCTAACATGCATGTTTTTGGTCTGTGGGAGGAAACCGGAGTACCTGGAGAAAACCCTCGCATGCACGGAGAGAACATGCAAACTCCACCCAGAAAGGCCCCTGGACCGGGGTTTGAACCAAGGACCTGCTCGCTGAGAGGCAGCAGCTCTACCAGTTGCGCCACCGTGCTGCCAGGTAAGATATCAACTATTCAAAATATTTTTATAGACTCCACCTCCTCACCTCCTTCTACAGGTGTGCAGTGGAGAGCATCCTGTGCTCCAGCATCAACGTGTGGCATGGAGGCTGCACAGCTGCAGAAAGAAAAGCTCTGCAGAGAGTGGTGAAGGCTGCACAGAAGATGTTGGAGTCAGCCTCCCCACCATCACAGACATCTACACCTCCAGATGCAGGAAGAGGGGCACCTGCATCATGAAGGACCCCACTCACCCAGCACACACACTTTTTTCTTTGTTCCCCTCAGGCAGGAGGTTGAGGAGCATTAAGTGTAGAACCACTAGACTGAGGAACAGCTTCTACCCTGAAGCTATTAGACTCATGAATCTCTAACCAGGATAAGGCCACTTGAATGAAAAGGATGCAGAAAAAAGAAAAAAAAAAATCATATCTGCCCCTTTAAAAAATTACAAAATAACTACAAACAAACAACAACCCACTTTAACTTTAACTTTCTTCATTGCTGTGTTTCAAGCCAACCTGCTGTTGGAATCTCAGAAGCAGCTTTTAACACATGCAAAAGGCCCCATCTGTCTAAAACAATCATCATGTAGAACGATCAAATGTTTTAGGTCAGATGGCCAACTTAAAATCTGAGGACACTAAGGCCAAAATGGTTAAAAAAAAAGGTTTGTAGGCTCAATCATCCAGGTAGATTCCACCAGGAGGTTGGCAGGCTGCAGACTGATGAAGTCTTCCGGATGGGAGACGAAACGTTTCTCCCTTAAAGAAACTGGTCCAGATGACACGATTGAACCTTTTTGTTATATATCAGGACGTTCAAAGGTTTCGCTCTGAATGACGGGTTTAGTTTTAGCTCTGCGTTGAAACTGACCACAAGTTCCTCATCGTCCTCCCTGCTGACGCCACGTGCTGCATCAGCGTGATTCTGCTGCCTTTACCACACATCTTTTCCTGCAGTTTGTTTCTCTTCGCCTGGACTTTTACTTTCTTTTCTGCTCACGCTGCCCACGAACGTAATTTCAAGGCAGCTCGGCCAGATGACCCTAGAAAAACCTAAAAATGGCCGTCATTCATCAAGTTTACTGGTGTTGAACTATCGGAGTGGGTGGGATCTCCCCATGCTGTGAGACATCGCACATGAAGTCCGTCCATTAGTCTGTTGGAGTCAGGTTGCGGGGGCAGCAGCTTGAGCAGGGAGGACCTGCCACCCCTTCCAGCTCTTCTGGGAGGAGTCCAAGGCGTTCCGAGATCAGTCGAGTCCTGGGTCTCCTCTGAGGTCTCCTCCCAGTTGGGCATGCCTCCTGGAGGCATCCTTATCAGATGCTAGAACCACCTCAACTGGCTCCACGTCGATGTGGAGGAGCAGCGGCTGTAACTGAACTCCTCGCTCTCTGAGAGAGAGTCCAGCCCTGCGGAGGAAACTCATTTCGACCGCCAGTGTCCGCTTTCTCGTTCACTCCACGCTTTTCCAACTGAATACAGTGTATTTTTTAAAAAGTTCACATTAAAGAGGCAAAGGCCATGAGCATTCATTTAAAGAATGCTGGGTCTTTTTTTTTTCTTCCTGTGAATGGGGTCAACCTCCTCTGTGGAGAAACCAGTCTTAGGAATCTGGACAATATCCAACACTTGTTTTTATTTTCATAGTTTTAGTTAATTAGTTATGTATTTTGTTGTAAAGGCACGGCTAATAGTCAGTTCTTTTAAAGTGCCCTGACCTGGTCTGTGTCTTGTAAATGAGTTTAAAAAACTTGTAATAAATCTGCCGTGTGTTCCTCTGTGATTAAAACTAATCAACAGTGAGTGTCCTTTAAAAATGTGTCCATCCGTGTCAAACCATTAACTGAGGCATGTTTCTTTGCAAACTCATCAAATCCTGTAAGGCCACAGCGCCAACTTGGCCTGTCAGGATAAATAATAAATCAATTAATCGCACGATAGATGAAAATTATAGACCTTATTTTCATTTATCGGCTTTATCGTTTCTTAGTGTCTCTCTCTTTCTACTGGAAGACACGGGATGATGAAAGGCTCAACTCTGGTGCTCTTCACTGACCCCTCTCTTTCTCTTTTCTTTAAAATCTGTTTTAACCGTCCAGAATCGCGTTTTTGGATCGTTAAAAGCAGCTAAACTGAGAACGTCAAGGGGCCTCCCTCCCACTTTTCTTAAAGAGACACGTTGCTCGCTCCCTCACTATCCATCCTTCTGTTCAAACAGTCTCATACTGCCATTTGGTGGTCAAAAAAGGTACTACACACAAAATTAACCAATACTTCTTCTTAAATTTTTCAATAATGACTAATTATTGTCAAATTTCAAAGAATATTATCGTTCATCGCAATAATTTCTGAGACAATGAATCGCCCAGCAATATTTGTTATCGTGACAGACCTAGTGTCAATGACCCGAGGAGGAGTTTTAAAGGTTCCACGCCTTTTTGGATCACGCGCACACACACACACACACACACACACACACACACACACACACACACACAAAAGATTCAGATTTCACACAAAAATGAGCTCATCTCTTCACAAAGATAAACTGCTCAAGAAATTTCTTTAACTCAGCACTTACGCTTTTCCAAAACAAACAAACAAACAAACAAACAAAAAACCTGAAGCGCTCAAAGGTGATGTTTTTCTCTCATTTTTCAGCTTTAAAAATATTTTATGATCACAAAAAATGAGCATAAATTATGTTTACTGTGATTTCTCCTAAAAAAAAAAGGCTGATTTTTTTCATCTGAATAAAACACTTTTAGACTTTGAGAATGCTTGTAATAATAACAATAATAATAATAATAATAATAATAATAATAATAATGATGATGATGATGATGATGATGATGATAAAAGATGGCCTCACCTGAAGCGCTCCTGGCCCGCCGTGTCCCAGATCTGCAGCTTGATCCTCTTCCCGGGCTCGATCTCCACCAGGCGCGAGAAGAAGTCCACGCCGACAGTGGGGTCGGACACCTGGGCGAAGCGACCCTCCGTGAACCGCCGGATCAGACACGACTTGCCCACCGTGGAGTCCCCGATGACGATGAGCCGGAACTGATAAAGCCAGATGGCCTCCATGTCTCGGACTCTTCCCGCCGGTCGGTGCGTTTGATGTGTTTGATGTGCGGCGGGCAGCGCGAGCCTAAAGGAGGGGGACACGTGAGGTTAGAGCTGAGGACTCCCGTCCTGACAGGAAGTAGTGGAACGTTTTTAACCTCTGTTTTTTAACACCGAAGAAGAAACGGATAACAAGAAGAAACTAAACAGATCTGAGACCAGACATCATCCGGTCCTTTGCATTTTAATTACTACATATTTATGTGTTCTGTTTGTTTAGTGGTTAGATTTTATTTCTGTTATTAAGAGGAGCACTCCTGAGATGTGAGAGTGCAAAAAAAAAAAAGTCGCGTTTTAAAGGGATATTTCAGACATTTTCAAGAGGAGGGGTAGGAAAAGCAGGGTTGCCAGATAGGAAATGACGAAATTTTGTACTGTTGCTTTAAAATTACCTATTATAATCCAAATTTGTGTGTGTGTGTGTGTGTGTTGGGGGGGGGGGGTACTGATAAATCATCAGACACCTGTGTTGTCATTATTACCATTAATGTTGTTATCGATTTAAGTTTGAAGCACTAAAAAGCATGCTTTATTGTGAGCTGATAAAAATGCTCTACACATAAAATATAGCAAGGGACCGACAATATCTGCAGCTTCTCATCATAATAATACTTCTCGACAAGTTTTATCAAACTCTTTTAAAGTTGTAAGAGTTAAGCTGACAAGGAAAGCTGCTAACGGATGGACAGACGACTCGCACTGTAAAAAGATACAAGTCTTTGAGCTTATACAGATTTAAGACAAAGATTCTCTTGTTTTGGGTATCATTTCTTTCTGGCCTATAAAAACAAGTTTTTCTTAGAAGTATCCTTGTGACAGAATGCCAGCCTGAAAATGATTAAAAACATAAAAACTATTTGGTTAGCCATTAGCCTAGCATACATGAAGGCTTTTGCCTCTGTCTCCATGCTCTGTGCTCTCTGAAGAATGTCACAACTATTGACAACTATGTAACAGAACTACAACGTTTGCTAGAACGGCTGTGCACGTTTGGATACTTGAGTTGTGTTAGTAAGGCAAAACTCACTTTGGAGTTGGGTCCACCTATAGATGAACTCATAATTCAAGCAGACTCACCTCCAAACCAGATTTTACTGTATTAAAAAAACTCCTGCTGCCACACTTCCAACAATAATGGCAGGCTTAAAACAAAAAAAAGTTTATAAAGGAACATCTGCAACGCTATATAACTTTATGGATTGTAGTGATTTTAACATGGCAGTAATCCACTTTGGTCTTGGCCCAGCTCAGACTAGCCATTAGCTTAGGGATGTCAAACTCAGTTACCAAAAGGACCCAAAATTTAAAAACTTTGTCCGAGGCACAGGCCACTTTCAGCTGATACATTAACTCAAGTCAGATACCTGATATATTTGGTTGCAGATTCATGAACAAACGTTTGATCTGCCTCACTTGGCGTTCTTAGCTCTTTCCACATCAGAATCAGTAATGACACAATGACCCAACTATCTTTCTGGCTTCAACGTTAGCCAGCTGGCAAGAGAAGTCTACCCTCAATGATGTATCGGTTGTTTCAAAGAAAAAATGACAAGATATACAATAGATTCAAAGATTTGGCCCACGGCTCTTGAGTTTGACGTATGTAGGTTGTTCAGAGACGAGGTTTTAACCGAGATCCCCGTGTCGAAGTCTGAACTACTGCTTTAAAGAGTTTCTTTTTAAAAGCCTTTACAAATGGCTAATATTCTTCAGACAAATGTACTGTTATACAAGTAGCTGGTGTTTGTTTAGGTTTGTGCACCACTCGGTTAGGTTCAGGAAAATACCACAGTTTAAAAAAAATCAAGTGTACAACAGATAATCTCAGGTTGGACCCTAACCTCTGTAACAAACCTCACCTCCATTTATACACTAACGTTTGGCCACAGAGTCACATTGTACATACAGACTTCTTGACGTAGCTGTAAACCGTACGGTAAAGCTAGAAGTGCTGGTAAATGAAGGCTTTTATGAAGAGTTGTATGGCTTGTTTACCACTTCGTGCTTACAAGGCCAAATGCGTTTACTGACGACTCGTTTTCTATCACTCTGATGGGAACTCTGGAGACGATGTGGCACGTGCACTCATGGGTTTGAGTCTTGAGCCACGAAACTTCCTGGTTAACTTCCTGAGTCACCTCCGTGGTACCCAGTGGGTTAAATAACGAAGTGTCTCATCTAAACTCCTGTTGTCAGACAGCAACATGTGGTCCTTTACCAAGACAATCCCTGACGTCAAAGTCAGGTGATCTCACTGACGCCTTATTCAACCTTTGATGTTCGTGTTAGTAACAGAAGTCACTATTCTCTGTGAAGTCTCCAGTAATTTTTATCGTCCACCGAGATAAAAGAAGGGTGATCATGTAATTGCCTGTGTGTGTGTGTGTATATATTTGTGTGTTCATTTGTCTGTTAGCAAAATATCTCAACAAAAAATTTATAAAACTGAATGAAACTCTTGAAATAATGAATGTAAGTTTGTCTACAACTCTTTGACTTTTGGAGTCAAGATGATTCAAGATGACCGCCACAGTTTAGCAATCTTTAAATAACACCCACATAAACAATGGCTACAACTCTGTTGCTTTACACATATTGGTGTGATTTGGGGCGGGATGGTGGCGCAGATGGTAGAGCTGCCTCCTCTCAGCGAGAAAGTCGCTGGTTCAAATCCCAGCCCGAGACCTTTCTGGGTGGAGTTTGCATGTTCTCTCCGTGCATGCGTTGTCACGAACCTCAATGTTGGAACCCAATTGCAGAGAGATGAGTGAGGCAGGAGTTCAAAAACCAAAACAATTTATTTTTTTAACAACAAAACAAAAGGCTGTCGGTGCAGCAAAACTTACTTTTGGCAGATTGGATCAGAAATAATGCAGAGCAGATCATCAGGGGGGCAGAAACCAGGCAAGGCAGAAGAGGATTGTGAAGTCAGAGAACATAGAACAACAAAAAATATAAAAAGCAGACAGAGACAGAAACTTGAAATAGAAGGAAATGATTAAGACTGTGGGATGATAGTTTGAAGATATAAATGTTGGTTTCTGGTTGCAGCTTGAAGGAGGTGGCAGAGGCTTGGCAGATGAGGGGGCAGCGGGGGCCGCTGACCGTGACATGCGTGGGTTTTCTCCGTTACTCTCATTTTCCTCCCGCAGATCAAAAACATGCATGTTAGGCTGATTGGTAACTCTAAATTGTTCCTAGGTGTGAGTGAGAGAGTGAATGGTTGTTTGTCTCGTTTGTCTCTGTGTGTCCCTGTGATGGCCTGGAGACATGTCCAGGGTGTCCTCCGCCTCTCACACAGTGACTGCGACCCAAAAAGGAAGAAGAGCGTAAAGATGATGGATGGATGGATTTGGTGTGGTAGTAGCTGAGAGTCCTCCACAATATACTCCGAGCACTAAACGATGAGGTCAGATCTTTGCCATTAACTGTTGGAGTCTGCCCTGTTTGTTAGCAAAATATCTTGTGAATGACTGGACACGTTTTGAGGAGACTTTCAGGAAGAATCATTTGATGAACAACTGATTAACTTCAGGAGTCAGCCTGATTCAAGATGGCTGCCACAGCTCATCCACTCTAGTTGGAACTAAATAATTATCACTCAACTGTTTTTACAGATACTGAGCTGAAATCTGGTGTGGCAGTAGCTGAGAGTCATCCCCAACACATACGCTGATGGCTAACTAAGTGCTCTGGATCTTTGTTTAAAACTCTGCAGTGTGAGGTGACACACTTTAATTCATGTATTTATTCTCATTCTAACTTGGTTCTTGTCTCAAACTCACAAATACTCTATACAAAAATGCCCAGTATAATAATTGCACTGGTACTGCTTCATCAGTGGTGTAGCGGTCATGGTGAAACATTTCTTAAATCAACTGCAGCTTCTATAGCAGAGCAGAAGCAGGGCCAGTTTCCCCCGAGTAAATGAAAGTCTATTTAACTGAAATAAAATTACATTAAACGTTGATGATACAGTAAATCAAGATTGTACGTCAGGAACAGTAACTTTATGTCTTTGAGATGTTCTCTCTTCCGGCTGTTTCACCCCCTTCACTCGTAAATTTGAGAAAATGTTTACAACTTAGACAAACCCCCTGCGGATCACTTCACAGTCTGCGACAGAGGACAAACGATAAACTCAAAATGGACAAGAAACACTTCATCAGTACATCCTTCTGAGCTGATTGACCATTGATTGCCCCCGTCCCTCCCGCTGTGTTCTTATCTCTTCTTCTTTGTTTTCAGGGCATGATTCAATTAAAACCACGAGGCGTCAGAAAATCCTCTTATGGCTTCACTTTGCTTCAACTCGTGGCTGCTTTTTGTAACACGGCACCAAAACTTACTTTGACACGAGTTTTTAGCTTCCGATTGTGAGAACGTACAAATAATTAGAGCAGCGTGTCCAAAGTGTGGCCCGAGGGCCATTTGCGGCCCTTGGAGTGATTTTGTGCGGCCCAAGACTTCAAAGTGTGGTATAATTTTGACCCACAGGCTTAAGAGACTGATGCAGATGTAGACCTTTAGATTTAATGGTGATACCTGTACTTTATACATTTTTAAGTTTAACAGCAAAGCAGATTAAAATAATCTTCTCAAAATGAGCCATATTAAGGATAATACAAATGTTTAGCTTTAATTAATCACTTTATCCCACAATAAACCTTCAATGACCTACCACACAGTAGAATTTTGGATAATAATTCATAAAATGTGGCTAAATATATCAAGTGTTTTCAAAGAAAATAATTTCAGTTGATTTAATAATCGATGGGGAGAAATCAAACCTTTTTCAACGAATATAAAGAAGCATCATCGACATGCAAGTTGATCAACTTTATCAGTGTCCCTTGAAACCATCCATGAATCTGTTTTAGTGACTGCCAGCTGGACAGTTACAGTAAACTGGACGATTTTTCAACATTTTAATCGCAGTTATTTTGACAAATTAGTGCCGT